AAAAAATAAATCATTGCTAAACATTTACTTAGTAAAAATAGTTATGGTTTTCCTAAGGAACAATTTTTTTCCATTTGCAGTAGTAGAACAAAAGTATTTAACATGTTTTTGTGCATTTAATAGTGCAAATTTTCGAGCTGAGTAAAAACACTTTACTTAAAAATTTTTAGCATCATCTACTAATCCATCCGGTGAAGTTCCTAAGAAACGATAACATTTTTCTTAAAAGATGAATAAACCACATTCAACAACTGTATTCTTTGTAATAGAAGCATATGTTTCAATTGCAATAGTTTCGTCAAGTTTAACATCTATATATGTAACGTGTGGAGGGTGGGTTATATAAATTCACATTTTCCCAAATTTTAATTATTTATTTAAATAACACCCTGTACGTAAAAGTTTGTTTAATTATTTCGCGAATTGCTTTTAAGTTGCAATCATGTACAAAATTGATTATTTAATAATTATTAAATATTAGTTTAATAACAATAAACTATGCAGAAGTTATAAAGGTAACCTCAAAGAGACACACAGGGCGTTTTCCACAATAGAGGATCCTCTTCATCGGGTTCATCAGAGAGCCTCCTTGTAGGATATTCCCAGTAACGGTTCCTGATCACTAAGACTTCGACCAAAGGCTCTGGATCTCCATCGTAGAAAATTAAAAGTCCTTTTTTATTTTAAATCGCGGTTTAACAAATTGTTGTTACATGTGTCGCAGATATTGCAGTTGGTAAGCTAAATTGTTTTAAAGATAGTGTTGGTCCATATTTGTGTATGTTCAGCTGTGAAGTATTTTGTAGAATTGTTTTGTTGCACAGAAATTGTTAGCCCTTAAGGTAATGGAAGAGGCATGATTTACAATTAATATTTCCGGGTAAAGCAGTCTAGTCCAAACAGTCAATCATTGTGGTTTTAGTTTGTACTACTGTTGCCTAGAACAACGTGTTATTCGGCTTATATCTTAAAACTCATAAATTGCCGAATATATCATATTTCCTAATAGAAATACTATTTGTTTTACGAAAACATTGTGTTTTTTCAGCCCTTTTACAGAGACGTGTTAGGTCCTAATGTCGAGAGTAGGACCCTGATTCACTTAAGGGCTACGAAGCCAAGTTCAAGGCAATATGATTAAGGCTCTAGTGATATAATTATTGAATGGTCACCCTTAAATTCATTAATTGTGACATATTTTATTAAGAAAAATGCAAAACGTGAGAATATCAAAAGAAGAAATACCCAATTTTAACAAATTTTCTTGCAAAGTGTTATGGCCCTTGCTAATAGATGTAGTAGTCAGAAGATTTAACTTTTAAGTTTCTTTATTTGTGATTATTGATTTCACAAATCCACAATTGGAACATTTAAAGAATAATTTTGAATTTACTCCTATACTGAATTCTCTGACAAATGCTAAATAACCAGTTTTTTGTTATTCAACATTTATGAATTTTAAGTGATCTTATATCACCAATGAAATGACGATTCGTCTATCAGAGATGAAAAATGGATACAACGTCATTGTATTGGTACTTTGCCCTAAACAGGAATTTTCAATGAAAATTATCCACTCTAAATAATTTTAAAGGTGAGGCTTTCATGAAAAAATACAAGAACAAGTCGAAAATCATATAAAGGGACAATTTTTATGGGATAGTACATCCATATACTAAGTTTGGTTTCAATATCTCGACCCTAAATGCCCTAGCCCCCAGAGCCGAACCCAAAGCAGATTATTTTTGTTGGTATTTCCAATAATCCTGTTAGTTAGGTTTGGAAAATATAAGTAATTTTTATGAGTAATTCTTGGTATAGGTAGGTTGAAGTAATTATTCTCAGGGGGTTCTTTATTGTTTTATATAAGTCCAAGCTAAAAATTTTGTTCTTCAAATAATATAACTTAAACCAATTTTAAATTATTTTTTTAATTTCTTTATTATATTTAATATTATTTCTACTTTTTCTTACAATAATCAATTTAAGATATCTACTTTAATTAAGCCAAAATATTTAGTAGGGGAAGTTTTTAATATTATATTAATATACTGTGTGTGAATTTGGCTAAACAGTAACCTTTATTTCTAAAAACAGGAGGATAATGTTACTTGAAAAATGTATATTTAGAATTAATATTTATCACCATCAAATCCCAGACCTGGACACATTTTTTTTTTTTAGCAGTACGGGAGAAGCAGAAGTGACATTTCTACAAATGAAATTAATTTCAACAAATTTATTTGAGATCATGTATAAAATTATTCATTATTAAAGACACCTTTTGTAACCACTATTGCACATTCATAAAAATCTTTAAATAAAAGTTTGTGGATATGACTGACTTTTTTTAAATATACCATAAAAACACGTATTCAGATTTCACGGAATAAAACACAAATAAACTTTTTTAAATGGGATACCCTCTATGTTATTAAATTTCTGGGATATATTTTTTTTCTAATTTCACAAATGTATATTATTGATAACCCTATCTTTTACCGTCTGTTCTCGAGTAATTTAACGTTGATAATGTAAATATGAAAAAGTTAACATTATTAAAGTAAAAGCTATAAAAATTACAACTATTATGTTTGATAATAACTAAATAGGTAGTTTACAGTGAGGAAGAAAAAGTGTAAATATTTACAAGATATTCGACGTTTAATTAATTAGGAAAGAATAAGGATCATTCCGAAAATTGAATAAAATATATATTAATGCTATCCCTATTAAAAAATATTCATGTTTTATCCTCTGAAATATGCACGCCACTGATATAGTCATTTGATGACATTTTTACAAAATTCGGTCAATGTAAACATTATACAATAATAATTATGGCATAAAGGGAGGGTAATTTATAATGAATAACCCTGTTAGGTTCCTAATAATTTTCAGTAAAAAAAATTTTAATTCGCATTTTTTTACTTAGATTAAAGAAAAATGTTATTTCGTGTTTTCTTGGTGCAGACATTTTGCGACACACTGTATATTCAAATCCAAAATGATGTATTTTTTTTTAACACATACCTAATGCAAATTTATTAGCAAAATTTAAATACTTGTTATTTTCGGTATATTTCTCCTTTAGACACACACATTTTTAGTTTCATTGTCAAAAGATTTAAATAAAATAGCCGGACCTTATAATATTCTATTATAATTTGATGATCCCGAGTGGTGATATCAAAACGACGAAATTTGAGCATGAAGATTTAGATGTCATTAACGTAAAATTAATGTTTTGAAATTAATTTAAGTTTAACCAATTTAGAAAATAAAATTATTTAATAAAAAAGTTTGAACTCGGAACCCTTCGATTCATAGACGAGTACTCTGAATATTCGCTATGAAGCCTTACGATCAAGTTCTACTTTTTAACGCTGATAATCAGATTGCTTTTAGTTTCATTAAAATCTCAGTTTATTTTTAAATATAGACGAATATCTTGTAGAATGCTATTATTTATTGATTCTTCACAAGAATCACTAATTTTTAATTATATTTAATCTTAGTAACAAAAAAAATATATATTGACAATTAATTTGACGGAATTGTCAATTATAAAGTTCTAACAACTAACGTAGAGGGCGTATCTAACCAGTAAATAAAATCGTTAGTTCAATGATTGTACCAATAGATGTCGGGAACGATTGCCTCCAATAACTTTTACATCTCGATTATCCTACTATAGTTCTTTACACAATGATTACGTTGTGTTAAAATAACAGGTAGGTTAAATAGGTAAGTAACAAATAGAAGTGTTTAGAGGTTTCGATTTCCCTCAACAACTTCTCATGAACGTTGCATTTACGTTGTATTGTAATGTTATTACGTACCCTTAAAACAACAACAACGTTTGGTAACGGTATGTGATAGCTATGCGAATTTGAAGTAAATACAACTTATTACGCAGCTGAAGCCAGCCTATTATATTTTCTTTGTATTTGAAAACTATTGTTATAACAATTAATAGAATCGGATTTATAATTAGTTGCAGCCGATAATTATAGAGATATATCCTTATGGATATTTTTATATAAAATATCAGAGATTTTTTTTTTTAGTCATGGTTGTAAAATTGTTATTATATTAAATACTTAATGATGTTTGCAATTATCATAACTACTGGCTAAGGTACTTGTTTTTCGACATTGTCATATGACATCTGCCATATGTCATTTTTTTTAGTTCGACTGTGTAAGGTCTAATACTACAATGGTCACCAATCTTGTTGTTCAATCAGGGTTACTAATGTAGCACTCTTACAGTATGGCATACTTAAGATTAGGTTTTAATAATAAAAATAATACAACCATGTTCCTTCATAACATACGTAAAGTTGTGATGAAAAGCGTCTTTTACTCACGAAAATGTTACCTTCTCAAAAATTACGCTAATTTTATTCGCATTGCCGTAGGGCTTTAGTCAGCATCTCGTGATTATAGGAACTGAGTAAATTTAATTACAACTTTGAGGCTTTGTAATAAGTCAATAATTGATTATCCTTGGGCGGAAGTTTTGGAGCATTTTAATTAACTGAAAAAGGGGAGACAAGAGACAATGCCGATCTGTCATGCAGGTACTCCAAATTTTAAAAGAGCTTTCCAATTATGTTCGGTAATGTGTCAATTTAGATTTTGTGCTGGTGGAAAGCTGTGAGGAAAAACGTTCGATGTTTAACAAGTAACTCGACATTTTTAGAATATTTCGACAAAAAAATTGATGGAAAAATTCAGAACAGCACATAATATAAATAATAAAATTAAAAATATTAAAAAAGTCACAGTCACTAAATGGAGATTAAAGACGAAGCATATTTAAAATTTTCCTCCCGTAAGTTTATATTAAATTCATATGTTTATAAGGACTATACTCAGAATTTTTTAAATGTTTAACGTTAATATTTTATTACTGATTTGCAAAAGATTCAAGATAATATCAAAAAACATGGTCAGAATTAGAAACTAGAGAAAAAAACTATTTAGAAAAATATGTAATTTCATTGATTAACATTCACCAATAAAATCCATTTGTATAAACTAAAATTATGTTTATTATCAACAAAAATAGACATTTTGAATGTACCTATTTATAAATAATTACTTGTCGATGTACTGAGTTCGAATATTTCTTTCCACACTTTCATTCTTTCAGATTCAGGATCAGTATCCACAGTAAGCTCCTCGCCAATATCCAAGAAGTGAACTGTCTTTGTATCTACAGGTTTCCATTCAATGTTTAAGTCATTTCCCTTTGGGGTTGGATTACCGGTTCTTGCAAAATTTGTCCATAATTTTACGAATCGTCTTATGGCTCTTCGTTCAATAACGCCTTTGTAAAAGAATGGATCTCTTTCCTCAGAACTAAACAGGTAGCCTAGGTCGTCAGCATGGCATGCACCTGAAGAATCAAATTGTTTTTTAAATTATCGGTATTGTAGGTTTAGAATAGTATATTTTGTAACAAGGGTGGTATGAAAATTTGATTCGAGTGAAAGAACCACCATTTCAGTAGAGTAACAGACTGTACTTTCTCTACGGCCACAGGAGTTGAATATAAGTAGATGCGAAATGTGCAAATCGCATGTACGTGCAAATTATGCAAAACCCATATATGTGCAAAATTTACAAACAGGTATTTGGCTGATGACCGGTTCTCCAGATGGTTAACCATGTAATCGGTTAATCACCTGCTGTGGTTAAACCGGTTGGTGGCCTCGGAACTTGTCTAAGCAAGTAAACATCCGTAAAAAAATGACAAGCACCACCATTTTAGTTTTGAACAGGTTTGTATAATTTAGTGCACATACCGCCTTCATCCATGAGAAAATTTATTGTGAATAGTACAAAATGTCTTCAAATCGTAAAACTGGTGTGTTTGTTGGTGAACAAAAATTTTATTTGAATGATACAAAAAGCAAACATGCAATGGTTTGTTTGTCACATATTAATAACTTTGCACCATGTGTTGTGATATCTGGAAATAATAACCATTCAGTGATCTTTAACAAGTTTTTATTTAAATTATTTGCATAATTTGTCAGTTCAGGATGAATATTATCAAATAACATATTATTGGTATTAAATGCTAATGTTGTGCGATTAAAAAAAATCCTATTGATTTATTTGCCAAAGAAACAATTTTTTTATGTGTTAAGAGTACTGGTGAATGTAATACCATGTCCTCTACTTTGCTTACTCTTTTTCTATTGGAGAATGTTGATGTTTACCTACCAGAATAAGTATTACTTAAAATTAAATCAGTGTTCTATTATTTTCATTTAGGATATTATTACAGGTACAAATATTAAACATATTTTAAATGAAATTTTCCAATCAAATTTGCCTTATTCAAAGCCTCACAAAATTACACCTAATGAAATTTAAATAATAACCTTGAACCTATAATTTGTTCTTTTTTTATCTAATCTTTTTGTGGCTATTTAAATATAAATCACGGAAGGTGCTCTTGAAAATTTATTTGCCATTGGATTGGTACCGTATTTGATTTTATCTAACGTATAAATGCTGGATGCTGGATGTTGAGCTACGATAATATGAAAAACAAATATGTACGCGCTGTAAGATTTTGGCCCAGCGCTTTTTTAAACTATATTTTATCTATACTCCATTAAGTACTTCTTGAAGCCATTTTTTTCGGTGCTATTTTATGTGATCGCTTTTTGTTAGTACGCTACTTTGTTCTTGCGCTGTTTTGTCCTGTTTGCGTTATTTGGTTCCACACTATATTATTACAAGACTCAAAAGAAAAGTAGTGCATAAAAATAGAAAAAAATCTAATGGCAGTACTGAGTTAAAATAACGTTAGAAGTTAGTTACCTTTGTCTTCAAGCTTCATGATTTTCTTAAACATATTGCAACCTGCATCCAAAGACATCCTATATAAATATACTGGTTCCGAGGAAGTTTTTGCGTGTAGTTTGGCTACAGTAATTATTCCTACTATAAAGGAATAGTCACTGGGTAGCTAAAAAATGCAAAATACGATCATAATTTTTTTTAATATGTGCTAATAGAAGAGAAGATACAATAGACTAACTAACTGCAGATTTCATTCAGTACCTCCAAGGACTGATTAATAAAAATCTGAGGACAATTGACAATTACAGTTTTTCTATTACTAAAGAAAGTATAGTCCTTCCATTATCAATTGCAGAACACAGTTATGTGGGGAATCATCAATATTTAATATATACGCACGGTACTCATGCCAAATTAAGAAACGAAAAATAATGTTTACTCCCCTTATACAAAGCGGTAAATATTAAACGAACCATCAGTTGTTTTTCCAATGAAAACATCAAATCGTAAACTTAAATGCACTGTATTGGCCGAAGGTTTACGGAAGGCAGGTGTTCGAAAATATTCCTGGAAGACAGTCTGCGATATCAGTGGAGTACTGTCGTGCGGTGTGTTTTGTATGTGTGGTTGGTTTAATTTAAATTTCTTTTAATAAATATAAATATGGCGTTCTTTAGACCATGGGCGAATGAAGAAAATGAAATTGCACAGTGTAGTGAGATTAAAGACAGGTATGATTTTAACGATATTTTAAATATATTCGAATGTTTAAAAAAGGAAAATATTTAGCAGTTTGATAATGCGTTCATAATAACAATTGCTGAATTAACTAAAGTAAATAAATTTTCCGTTTATCCGGTAGTCACGAAAGGGGTTGCTGTGGATTATTCATAAAACCGAAAAACATGTAAAGAAAAACTGAAATCAGTTGACAGAGCTACCCAAGATTTTATACGAAGGACAATTTATAGTTTATATAAGGAGAACAGGGTTCCGACATTGGAAGTAATACAGCAAAAGGTGGCAGATTTTCCAGGATACACTTATACCAGTTTGGAAACATTGCGTCAAGTTTTGTCAGCATGTGGTTTTAAACACAAAAAATTGAATAAACAGATGGCAATCACCGAATCGTCAAGGATAGTTCAATGGCGACAAGATTATTTGCGTCAGAAAAAAGGCTACAGAAGTTCTAATAGACACATAATTTATCTAGATGAAACATGGTTTGACAGTCACGATGTAGTAAATTTCGGTTGAGTTGGCAGTAGTAAAAATTGCTGTTTGAATGGGCCATGTTCTAAAGGGAAACGCATTATAATAGTACACGCTGGAAGCAAAGACGGTTTCGTGCCAAATGCTTTATTATTATCTGCTAAACAAATTAAAAACTGTGCAGCTAATTATCATGAAGATATGACAGCAGAATTATTTGAAAAACGGTTTAATGAACAGCTTTTACCTTACATTCCACCACAGTCAGTAATCGTTATGAACAACGCATCCTACCACTCGCGGCAACTCCTTAAAATACCAAATAGTAGCAGTAAAAAAGCTCAAATTTTAGCTTTAATGTCTGAAAAAAATATTCCTATTCCTGCCAGTGATAGTAAAAAAGGACCAACAAACAAAGAATTGCTTACTGTTATTAAAGGTATTATATTGACAAGCTGTGCAAACTCTTCTCAGACTACCTCCATACTATTGCATATTTAACCCTATAGAGTTAATATTGGCAAACTTAAAATCAGAATTACGAAAATGTAATCAGTCTCCAGAACTGAGTAAAGAAGTTCTAGCAGCAGACCGCCAAGAGCTTTGGAAAAACTGTGTTGAACATTTTATCAAAGAAGAAGATGAGTATGTATTATTACCTTCTTTACAACCCATCATAATTCAACCAAATGATGACTATAGTTCAGAGGATTCAGACTGCCATGATTATTTATAAAGATACTTTAGAATTGAATTGTTTTTTTTTTGTTTTGTTTTATTTGCAAAGAATTTATTTTCCTTTATGGTTTTTTCTTTGAAATTTCGTTTTCCAGAAAAAGAACGAATGGGATACAAAAAGGGTTCAGTTCACGTCTGGTACCCTGTTTAAACCAAACGCCCTTACAGGCAGGTACACTTTACTGGCTTTTTTACGTTTTATAATTTAATATTCAGTTGTAGCAAGTTAACGAGCTATAATGATTTTTTTTTAAGTCCAAGTAAGATTACAATTAAGTGCATCTGTCTAAATAAGGGCGTATAATAACGTCCAATTTATAATTATTCGATTTCCTTTTAACGAATACTTTCTTGCATATGATATATATTAAAAGTATTAATAAAATAAATTTATAAAATGAGGTAGGTATCTACGCCTATGGCAGATCAAACAAAATTGTCGGCAAAGGTTCCGAACGAGTTTTTATGATCTGCAATTGATAATGGAAGAACTATAACACGTTTGGTAATTATATAACCACACCATACACATAATTTTGAGGAACTTCGGACTACTGGCTTTATTATTTAATACCCATAGCTTGTGTGCTGTCAAGTGGGGCATGAAAGAGAGTTATACTCAACTATAAGTATATCGACAAGTTTAATGAATGATAGCAATTTTTAATTGGTTTTTTTAGGAAATTAGATCTAGATCTACTGTGATGGAGCGAACTGTTACTTAAGAGATAGAAGATGTTTGTTGCGATATGATTTTGTTATGTGCTCGACGCAGGTGTTCTTTTATTTACAGAGTTGGTTTAAGTATGATATATTTAATTGGAAGACAAATATTAACTATATTTAAAACACTTATCGAATCAAACCTTAAATAAGAAGACCAATTCAACTCCATTTTTTTATGTAAACGTGTAAAATCGCTAAGCTTTCCCAATATGGCGGGTATGATTTTCTTGACCGAGCGAGGGTTTCTAGCAATTCAGATAATCGCAGGTAGATGGCGCAACCTAATATATTGAGAGGAGCAGACTTAATTAGGGTTCAAAAAGAGTTAAGATGGTGATAATGTACACCTGACGTATACACACAGCTAGATGTCGCCACCGGGTAGACTACGGGGGTATTGTTAATAAGTATTACTCTAGAATCTAAATAATATTTAAAATTCTTACACATTTAGAATAATTAATAAAATAATATAACTCGTGAATTAGGATCTTGGACACCAATGCTTTTTAAATGGAAAACGTGTATTTTACTCTGGACAGTAGAGTGCTTGTGTGGACAAAGATTGGATAAATATTGTTAATAATTTAAATGAGGGAATGTTATTTGTAATGTCAACATTGGACAATGAAAATAAAATATATTTTGTTTCAAAATTGTCTCTCTTTGAAACTCAGCTTTTTTATTTAGGCCCATTTTCAGTAAACTTGTTATTAGTTTCTTTTTCTTAATTTGCTTTTCCTTGTAATTATTCCCAATTTCCATTTCCCCTTCTGTTTTATAAAATTGTCTTCGTTTCTCGTTAGCTTCTTTCCTCCGCCTTATTCCTTCGGCACCTCTATCACATCTACATGTGGATTTATCATGAAGTTCTTCTTCTGATGTGTATTTTTTTTAACACCTTCAGATGCTAATTCTGAAATTTCTATGCTTACTAAGCAACACTGTTTTCCTCGGGAATGTAACCAATCTTGTTTGAATACTCTTCTATCGTAATGAGAATAGGGTGCACTTCTAAAACCATCTTCGCCCCTTCTAATCGGCTTTTGTCCACCAGCACAGGTGATGTATCTGAGGACACCAACAGCATGGTCCAAGCAAATTATTTTCTTGAATGTTGTTTTTGAATGGAGTCGTGTACCAGTGCGCTGTAGTTTTTTCTTGTAGGCTAATATTGTAAATCCATTAGTAAAATGTATTAAAGCGTGAAGATGTTCCTGTGGTGTACTACCATCGTCTGCTATTAGATGACATCGACAAATAGAATACCATTAATAATTGGAGCACATGCAAGTAAATTAAAGTCTCTTTCATTTAATATTAAGTGATACCATTCTTTAGACAATTCTTCGTAATCTTGTTCCATTTCCTGTGGCGACAATGCGTTAATTTTATTTAAATTCAAGAGATTCAAATAATCAGTTTTTGACAATGAAGACATATTTTTGTTATTTTTGGAGAAGCTACTCCTAGAAATAAATGTCTCAGTAGACTGGCAGAGTCTTTAATGTTTTAATACCTTAAACAAATAATTTATTACTCCCACCACCAAGATTTTTGCGCATGCGCAATAGTACAAACGAACGTGATGTAAGCGTCATTGCAACATGCTTTCATGAGAACGAAGGTTAAGTAAGGAGGGCATACGAGAAGTTCTATAGCAATTTACCAAAAAAAGATGAAAAATAAGAAAACGATGAAACAAGGAGAACTTCTCGTATGACCTCCTAACGTTCGTTTGTACTACTGCGCATGCCCAAAAATATTGGTGGTGGGAATAATAAATTATTTGTTTAAGGTATTGAGACATTAAAGACTCTTCATATCGGAAGAAAAAATCTAGCTGTGTGTATACGTGAGGTGTACATTATCACAATCTTAACTCTTCTTGAACACTAGTTAAGTCTGCTCCTCCCAATATATTATGTTGCGCTATCTACCTGCGATTATCTGAATTACTAGAAACCTCTGGTCAAGAAAATGATAGCCGCCATCTTGGAAAAGCTTAGCGATTTTATACATCAATTTATATAAGAAATGGAGTTGAATTGATCTTGCTTATAAACTTTAAACCTTTTACTCAATTAAAACTTTAGTAAAATTAACTTGGAATGGCAGCAAGAGTAGCTTAATGTTTTTTACTTCTTCAACAAACTACCTGTTAGATTTTACTAATTATTAGGTCAAATAATTATTTAGTTACCAAGTGATTACCGATAGAACACAATGCGTGAGAATCAGCCAACAGTAACACTCCCCACTCCCTGTTCTTGACTGTCGATGTTTTCTACAGTACTATAGTTAGAAATCACAGAAAAATTAATTTATTTGCGAACATACCTTGATAATGATCTCATTTTTTGACAAGCTTTAAATTTTATTCTGATCACTTTGTAAAATATAATTTTTTACGAATTGCACTTACCAACCATTTGTCATCTACATTTGGTGGCTGCAAATAGAGTTCAGTTAACTTGTTCTTAATAATCAGTCTCTTTGGATCGTCTTCTGCCAATTGCAAATCTGGATGTATAAAATTGTCTAGTTCTATTTTGCTATATATAGCAAATGGTTCTACACCAGCCATAACCTGAAACCTTCTATAAACTTCCATCAACATCCCTTCTCTGTCACAGTAGCCCAATAGTATTGGGACTTTGTTATATTGTCCAGACGCTATAAGTTCTGCCGGATCAGAGGTAATAGTAGCAGTTTTGTTTGGTTTTTCTATATTGGGACCTATCACTCTAGATCCTCCTGAAGCCTAAATATATTTAAAAATATTTATAACTGTGAATATGTAGTATTAAATTTTTCAAAATAAAAATAAAAATGTCTTACTTGAAAGAATTTTTCTTCTTGTTCATACAGGTCTTTAACAGATAATCCTTGTAACACTTCTAATGCCTGTGCTTCGGTTTCTGTATCTGCTTGAACATGTTTAGCGAATTTAAGACCAGAATCTTTACAGAAATTCGATGGATTCAACACAACTCCACTCTGCAAGATGGCCTTATGGAATAATCCTTTTGCAGATGCTGACAGAAGTAGTTGGTGTGCACTCTTACTTCCAGCACTTTCTCCAAAAATGGTAACGTTATTTGGATCTCCGTTGAAGTTTTTGATATGTTTCTGCACCCATTTTAGGGCTAAAAGTTGATCCTTGAGACCTGCATTTCCGGGTACATCTAAAGATGTATCTGTTAGGTGAAAGAAACCCAAAAAACCAACACGATAGTTGGGTACTACCAAAACTATATCTTCTGTCAAAAGGTATTCAGGACCGTAGGTTTTAGGTGAGTTTGAACCTAGGCGGAAGGCACCGCCGTATATCCAAACCATGACTGGTTTTAGTTTGGGTCCCTCAAACGGGAGCTACAACATATATCACTTATAATGATTTGTTTGTAGTTTTTTAAAGATATACAAAAGTAATAGTAAAAGTAATCCGGCAAAGTTGTTTTTTTACTGAAACTCTACCTTAGGTGGTTTCTTTATATTCTAAAGTATTCTAAAATAAATAATATATAGCTTACAGTTTTGGTGAAGACATTTAGATTTAAACAATCTTCAGAGCCTTTCATAACTTTTGTTGTAAAGTCTCGCTGAAAGCACATATTTCCTTCGTTGCTTGCATCCTTTATTCCAGTCCATGGTTCAGATGGTTCAGGTGCCTAAAAATATAGAAAATGTATTTAAATCTTATAATTCAATCGTACTTTACTATTTAAAAAAGTATAATCAGCATATCGATTGACAAATGTGACTGTAACATTCACATTCGTCAAAAAAGAGTACCTGTAGACACTTGTTGCCCAAATAACCATTTTTTAATAAGTTGTATTTCTTAAAAAAATTAAGGACACCTAGAAAGCATAAACGTCATAAAATGAGACCTGGGGATCATAAAACGGCTAAAGGTGACCTGGAGAGCATAACACGAGGCTACTAACAGGATATATAAAGAGCATAAAACAGATAAAGGAGGCCTGGAGAACATAAAACGAGGCTAAAGAAAAACTTGGAGAGTTCAAGCAGGCGAACCCTACCCGTATACAGCGTGTTTACAGATACAGCGTCCCTAATATGTCCTGAAACGACCCGTCGATACTAACGGAGTGTTATCCCCGCTGAGTATTTATTTTTGAATCTCAGGGAGTATAAATTTTAAGGGAAGAATGAGATAAAAATACAAATTTTGTGCGTTGCAGATAAAGATAAAAAACCGGTTTTCTATTCCCTAGACTTCAAGAATAGCTATCCAGGAGTGCTCCCACCTCAATCGGCTACACGAGGGATAAGTGTCATCCGACACCTACACTTTTGTCAGTTTCTTAATGTTAAGCAAGTCAGGTAATTTTTTATTATACATATTTTAAATTTAACCACATATTGTTTTTATTTTCTTACTTTTTGCTGGCAAGCTAATAGCATAATTTGTATTTATGCAATTTTTGTTTTTGTATTTTTAAATAAAGATAGTGCCATTAACTTGCTGGTTAAATTCCAAGCCGAATCTCACCGACATATAAATTTAATACTTATATCAGTGTCTGAGCTAGGCCGAAGTTGTAAAAAACCTTGATTCAAGGATTTTTACAACTGATAATAAAAAGGGCGACATTCTATATCGTCACTATGAAAAATTTTAAAAACATTGGTTTTAAATACAAGAAATATGATCCACGTCTCGTGATGGTTTAATGGATTTACCACATATTGCTTTCAAACATGTTCATTTTTTACACGAATATGTTAGAATCAACATTGTATCAGTTTGTTTTTTTGGATGAGATATTGATATTTAAAGATGGTAAAGTTTAGAGATGGTATAGTTGGACCTTCCTGACAGGATTATGATAAGAGAAAAGTGAGGAAAACCAAAAGTGGTGGTGCAAAGTACTTAAACATAATTTTAAAGTTAGTATACAGGGTGTAATAGAGATATTTTAATTCTGTAAAAGCCAGTTCATAGAGCACTAAGAAAGCTTCAGTTTTAGATATAAATTAATTTTAAATATGTCAATATATAGATGGCGCTGCGATCAATATTTTTTGTTCGATGGGAGAATCTTTCTTAAGCCTTGGTTTCTTTGAACACTCCGTCGCGGTGAGCGGACAGTCCTTCGACCGTCGTGTTTTGACGATTTTATCTAACCAGAGTATTTAAATAGGAATGGTTTTCTTGAATCCGCTTAGCTGAGCATGACAGCGTCATGCCGCTGATTTTTCCTGCTAGTCGGTTCATATCTGTTGAGTTTGATATCAGCGGAATCGTCGGCGTGTGCGGAAACAGTTTGTGAATACAAATAATTATATTGTTATTATTTTTAAAATAATGAGTGAAAAATTCACACATACAGATGACTTTATGACTTTATTTGTAGGTTTCTTGGAAATGTCGCCCTTTAAAAAACTCAACGCGAATTCAAACAGATCTGTAGAAAGTCTAAAATACTTCCTAAATTTGGTTTCATTTCCAAAAAGCCTCCGCTGCACAGTGATATTAAAGGCACCTTCTATATCGCAACACAAAAACAACTTATCCACTGGCCTATTAGAATTTTTGACGGTTGCAATTGCCAGTTCCTCTCTTATTCTTCCTCTTACAACAATAATAACAACGCAAACAATTTATTTGCGTTCATTTTAGTATATTTCGTTTACATTCATAATACATAAACAGAACGTACAGACATAGAGAAGGTCTCATTTTCTATATTTAACAACCTCGGGCGAAAATCGCTGTCCTCAGCGATCGACGAACTGTCCGCTCACCGCGACAGAGTGTTCAAAGAAACCAAAGCTTTATATAGCGCATCTTGTAAAAAATGCATTTTTAAGCAGATTTTGTATTATAAACTAATTCGATAAATCTAGCCGTTTTTCATATACAGAGTGGGTCACTCAAAACAGTTTCATCCTGTTTTTTGGCATTATTCATTGAATTTTAAGAAAATGCTAAAACAGATCGATTTTTATTTCAAATTGGACAAATTTTTACAATACAGACATCTGTCATGTGTCAACCCCCTCCCTTCCACTTCTCCAACTCCTTAACTTTAAATAAGGAATGTACCATGTATGGCACATCATTGAAAAGGTAATTTTGTGGGGAAGTCATAGATATGACTGTTTATTGCGATACTTTTAATTTCTACGCCCTCTATCGGGATAAAAAAAATCTGTAACGTAATATAAAGTGCGACACTTCATTTGAAAGCTAATTTAATTACTAATTCAATGCACCAAATATCATTGATATAAATATTTCCACATTGCACTTGCAACAAAATAAAGTTAGCAATAACATTGTTTAAAATATTGCATGACTAATTTTCAAACTATTGCAAGTGCAATATAGAGGATATTTATATTAATGTTATGTAGTGTATTGAATTAGTAATTAAATTTTCTTTCAAACAAGGTGTCACACTTTATAATACGTAGTTTTTTTTATCCCGATAGAGGGCGGTACAATTAAAAGTATCGCAATGAACAAGCATATTTATAAATTCCCATAAATTACCTTTTTAATGATGTACTACACATTGTACTGTCACACTCTATAATAAGTAATAGTTTTTTTCCGCTAGAGGGCAAAAAAATTAAAGTAATGCAATGTACAGAAATATTTCTGAATTCCCCATTAAATTACCTTTTCAATGATGTGCCATACATGGTATATTACCTATTTAAAATTAAGGTGTTGATGAAGTGCAAGGGAGGGGGTTGACACATGACAGATGTCGGTATTGTAAAAATGTTTCTAATTTGGAATAAAAATCGACCTGTTTTAGCATTTTCTTAAAATCCAATGATTAATCCTGAAAAATAGGATGAAACTGTTTTGCCTGCACTCTGTATATCAAAAATGGCTAGATTTATCGAATTAGTTCATAGAGCATTTTTTACAAGATGCGCTACATAAGAAAGATCCTCCCATCGAAAAAAAATTATTGAGCGCAGCGCCATCTATATATTGACCTATTTTAAATTAATTTATATCTAAAACTAAAGTTCTCTTGGTGCTCTGTAAACTGGATTTTGCAGAATTAAAATATCTTTATTACTTACCAAAATATCCCCCCTGGGAATTTTTATTGGTACACCCTGTATACTGTATAGGTAATACGATTTACAATTTTTTTTTATTTAGTGATGACATATTGTTAAATTTTTGGTATGTTTAATGTTTGGTCTAAAGCTATATTTTTTCATTGTAAGTATATAGTACTGCATGCAGATACATCTTCTGGATTTGTTTCTAGAGCAGAGTTGGTATTTTCTTTCAAGACACAAGATGGTGATTATTATGGCGTAACGAATAGAGACAACTTTTTGCATTTGTTTCAATATCAGCTTTTAATGAACTAAGAAGAACTGTCTACAAATATTATGCATAATGCCTGTTACCACTACGGTGGCGAATAATTTATCGACAACAACTGTCAATGGTGGCCAATACCAAATATCCCAAAATTATTTTCTTGTGTACAGGGTGGCCCAATAGTAAATTAGGCAAATCACTTAATTTTTTTTAAATGGAATGACCCAACTTTTTTTACAATTTTATGTACTCTATGGTCACTAGTAAATACCCACAAAATATTGTTTCTAACATCCCACCCCTTTCGCAGAAAAAAAAATTACCAAAAAATATTGCATTTTCAGACGCCTATTAAAATATGCAGTGCTCTCTCGAATTTGATGTTAGAATTTAAAAAACTACGATTGTATAAAGCCAATAGACCAAAGATTTTTTTGGACCAAGTTTGAATTTTTTATTTTGTACAGGGTGGTCACAAATTAATTTCACTTTCCAAAAATTTCGAGGGAAATTTTTTAAAATTTTTCAAATGTATTACCCTGTATTTCTCTTCATCAACTGAAGGAGAATTTCATACCTTTCCACTTCCCTATATACTTTCCTATACCTATCTGTCGCCGTTATAAAATAAATTCAAATGGAAGAAAATTACGATAATAAAATTTATTTGAAATTTATCCTAAAACATAAATTTACATTTTATAAAAGATACTCAAAATGTCTGCCATTTTCTCTAATGCATACATTTATTCGTTGGGCGAATGATCGAGAAACGTTTCTAAGCATATCAGGTGTAATGGAATGGAAAGCTTGCACTATCCTTTCTTTCATATTTTCAGGTGTTGTAGGTGGCGTAAGATAGACTAGATTTTTAATATAACCCCACAAAAAATAATCGGGTTTTGTTAAGTCAGGTGATCGAGCTGGCCATTTTTTTGGACCATTTTTACCAATCCATCTATTTGGAAACTTTTCATCTAATTCATCTGCCACTTCGCGTAAAAAATGCGCTGCTGCCCCATCATGTTGGTACCACATTGTTAGTCTTACAGCAAGGGAAATGTTTTCAAGTAAAGTAGGAAGATGATTTGCTAAAAAATCTAAATACATCAGACCATTTAAGTTGCCTTCAAAAAAATACGGCCCAATAACATGATCCCCAATTATACCTCCCCAAACATTTACACTCCATCTTTCTTGGCTATGTGTTCTGATGGAATAATAGTGGAAATTATGTCTATTAACGAATCCGTTCTTGTGGAATGTAGATTCATCAGAAAACAGCACTCTATCAAAAAAAATGGATTTTGTTGCAGTTTAGTTACAAAACACCATTCTATTATCAAAATCGGTGTCTTTCAGCTCTTGATGCAATTGTATTTTATAAGGATGATATTGATGCTGTTTTAAAATCCTTCTAACGGATGTTCTACTTATACCTACTACTTCGGCAATCTTTTTTTGACTTACATGAGGATCTTCTATCGCTGTCAATATTACAGATAATTGGTTATCATTATCAGTAGCAAGTTTGTCAATTATTGGTTTTTTATAAGCAACATTTCCTGTTTCGGTAAATCTTTCATATAACTTTTCAAAACTTTTTTGATCAGGGATGCGTCTATCGGGATATCGTTGATGATAAATTCTTTTTGCCAATAAACAATTTCTGTCGGATTCTCCCAAAACATAGACCATGTCAATTAATTCGTTTTTCGTAAAATTCATTATTAATAGAAGAATTATCGCGATCAGTAAAAATAACTTGACACTTCATTAATAAATAATCTGACACTTCATTAAGACCCAGCCTACTTGATTGAATGTTCACTTTCAATAAAACCACTGGTAGAAATTGGATTTTTGATAGATCAATGTCTTTTTGGAATTTACTTTTAAACGACGACAGATAGGTATAGGAAAGTACATGGGGAAGTCGAAGGGTATAAAATTCTCGTTTCATCGATGAATAGTAATACAGGGTGTTCTATTTGAAAAATTTGAAAAAAATGTCCTAGAAATTTTTAGAAATTGAAATTAATTTGTGACCACCCTGTACAAAATAAAAAATTAAAACTTGGTCACCCTGTACACAAGCAAATAATTTTGGGATATTTGGTTTTGACCACCATTGACAGGTATACTTCGAATAAATCGTTAAAATTTGCATAATAGGAGTTATAGAACTACGACAGAAAATCCTATAATTTCTTGCATGAATATAGTACAAACTCTGTATAGAAACATCACCCCAACCAGGCCCAAGTGCAATAGGTATCAAAACAAGTCTATTGTTTTTTGGATTCTGAGTCTTTAAACTCCAGCTTCAGTTTAGAAGAAATTTGCATGAATGATATAACTGATGATGAAAATAAAACTTTTGCTTTAATAGAAAAACCTCTAAATGTGTCATTTCAAGATATTTGCCCAGCACCAAAATTACAACAAAAAGCATCAAAAAGAAAAAAAAGCATTCTGCAGTATTAACAACAACACCAATGAAAGAGGAACTATAGGTAAAAGCAGAAATGAAAAATAATAAAATGAAAGATGTTAGAGTACAAAAAGTCGCGATAATTATTTGTTCCATTAAAAAACCTGTTAAAAAAATTAAACAACAGACTACTATAGTGAAAAATAAAGAAAATAACCACTTCTGTTGCATTTGTGGTAAATTTGGAGCCAACAATGAAGTTTGGTGACGCTGTTGTTCATGCGGAGTATGCATTCCAAGTGCACTGTCGCTGAAAAAGCGTCAGATTGTATTTGTGACAATTATTTCTGTTAAACATCTTATTGTTTCTTACCAAAAATTTAATGTTTACGTTTAATATATTTAATTCAACATTAATCTGTTGCCTTAGTCGATAATACCCTATTGATCGATTTTACCCATTACTTTGATCGATTTTACCCGACTGGTCGATTTTATTCGAATCTTTTTTGTTTTCTAAACAGAAATTAACAAAACTATCATATTTTCGACAAATGTATTATAGTCTCTGTATGCAACAATATATTTGCTAGTAATCTATATGTTTTTGAATATTTTTGTACTATATTCATGCAAGAAATTATAGGATTTTCTTAAGTAGTCGATAGTCTCCTACGTTCCCCTAATAACAGGTGATATAACGTGTGCTCAAAAATTAAAAAATATTTCAAAAAATTAATCATTTGTAGGGATATACCATCAGGATTGTCTACAAAAAACCAATGTAGGAACCATGTACAATTATTATCGGAATTATACAATTATATGTTTATAAATGAGTAAAAATAAATGAAAATATTCTTATCTTATATAGATAAGAATTACCTTAAATCTTAACTTCCCGACAGGTGGTTTTCCAAATGGTATTCCCAAAAAGGCGTGAAAGTTTTCTCCATCTAGGTTAGCTTTGTGGGTTCCTTTTAGTTGTCCATCATCAATTGTTACAACTGGAGAGTCCATGATCTAGAGTAACAAAATTATGTCGTTAGTAACAAAAAAAGATAAACTGGTAACATAAGTGTTACATTTTTTTCATATTTATATACATTGATAGCAGATTTATCTCAAGAGGCTTAAACTCCGTAATAAAAACACTCAAAATATCATTAAATTCTTATGCTGCATTAAACTTGCACTAGATATATTAATTAAATATTATCTTTTATTTTATTAAATTATTAATTTTTTGAGCTGGTAGATAATTTATTTACCTGTTTAATTATAAAAAACAATGACTAAGCAAAAATTATTATTAAAAAAAATATATGTAATTATACAAATTTAAAAATTTGTCGAAATAATTGTAATAAAAATTAATAATAAAATTTAAACTACTAAATTAAAAAAAAAAGAGAATCAATTGTAAATTTGTAGTTTTTAATAATTACAAATGTGTGTACTGTATATAATGTTCATGAAATTCAATACATTTTTGATATCAATTCATATAATGTTTAATTTATTCGTATATTATTTAATATAATACTCAAAATTAAAAAAAAATAATGGAGATTATTGTTGGAATATTTTAAATATTTAATATGATCAAAAAAATATTTTATGGAAAAAGGTAAAATTTACTGGATCTATTTGATGAAATATCTGTTTTTTATGGATATTAATTTACTTCTGATCATCATGTATGACATTTAATATGCGATGTATATTTTAACCGAAATTTATATTAATTGAATTTAATAAATAAATATGTTAAAATCGATTTGTTGAAATACAGTTCATATTTTATATAGCTCAGGATATTAGTAATTATTTTAATTCATTAATCAAAAATTTAACAGCCGAATATAGGTATTAATAATACATATAGTTGTGGTTTTATTTAATATAATTATCACTGATATCCATATCCGATGATATATTTTAAAAAAGTGTGCTTTGTTAATATTAAAAAGACTAAAATTATAAAAAAGGTAAAAGTACTAATTCAAATTCACTGATGTGGAGTTAGCAGTAACTTATAGCAGTAAAAATAACCGAAAACACCCGATCGGGAAAACAGAGGCGTCCAATCTACAACTATTTTAATAGTCTTGTCATGTATTTTACACATTATTATCGTATATGTATAAATACTTATTATATAGGTAAAATTAACCCTTCAAATAACAAAAAATTATTTATACCGGGAGTCCGCGCGAAAACTTTAAATGGAATTATTTCTGGTGTTTTAAAATATATCGACTTGAAATTTTGGAAGGTCATTAAGAAGTAGGGGGTAAATTAATAGTGTATAAGATACCACTTCAACGTGATATCTGCCGCCCCCAGCCACCCCCGGTTCAAAAGTTCAAATGACACCCTGTATTTTTTTTACATATTCTGAAAGAGCGTAGTTTTTTAGTATCTCTATGTGAAAAAATTACTTAATTACATAATGAACTTTGAAAGATATTTACAGCTAAAGGTTCAGATACCAGATATTAAAAAAAAGAACTAGTAACCTTGGACAGTAGACAAATTTCGAAATAATTAAAGCAGATAGAAACAAAAAAATCTAATTATTCAAAAGAATATAACTTATCACAAAAAAATACAACTTATCACAAAAAAATACAACTTATCACAAAAATAGGTATTCTTATAGACCAACAAAATTTCGCTTTATAAACTAAAGTAAGGACTCTTTTTATTTTTTTAGTTAAATCAAATGTTCAAAATGTTCACCGTTTACATTTAAACAATAGTACAGTCTATTCTCGAAAGCGTTACGAATATTTTTAAAGACATGTGGTGTTAAATCTCTACATTCCTCTATGATTCTATTACGCAAATCATCAATGGATTGTGGTGGTGTCCTGTAAACAACAGACTTCAAATGTCCCCATAAAAATAAATCCAGTGGGGTCAAGTCTGGGGAGCGAGCTGGCCATTCAATAGGACCCCTACGACCTATCCATTGTCCTGGAAAAACGGTATTTAAATATTGCTCTACTTCTAAACAGTAATGAGGGGGAGCTCCGTCTTGCTGAAAGTATAACTGATCCTCCTGCATTTGATCTAAGTTTTCTTCCAAGCACTGAATGATAAGAGGATGTATTAATTCTTCTAAAAACTCGAGATATCTAGGCCCAGTTAAATTCTCGTGATAGAAAATTGGACCAATTATTTGGTTATTTAGAATTCCAGCCCATACATTAATTTTTTGGGACGTTGCGTATGGCCTTCTCGGAAAACGTGGGGATTAACATCGCTCCAATATCGACAATTGTGTCTATTTACGAAACCATTTAAGGAAAAGCAACTTTCGTCACTGAAACAAATATTTCGCAAAATATTTCTATTTTGCCGAATCATGCCTGTCATAGTTTCACAAAATTGGACTCTTCTATCGAAGTCATCGTCGCCCAACTCTTGATGAAGCTGTATTTTATAAGGATGCATTTTATTTAATTTTAATATTTTATGGCACGTTGTTTTTGCCACTCCCGAAGCTTCTGATAATTTTCTAACTGAAAGCTGTGGGACTAAATTTACGTGACCAAGAACTGCAACTTGCGTTGTTTCATCTCGTGCTCCACGATTATTCATATCACGTTCTTTATTATTTACCGATCCAGTTTCAAAATTTTTTGTATTAGATTAATAACATAAACAGTAGATACATTTTTGTTGGGATGGTTTTCGTTAAATAATGCTGCCGTCTGTGAATAGTTTCTGTTTGCAATCCCATATAAAACTACAATTTCAGTTCTTTCTTCCAAACTGTAAACCATTTTTCTATTTTTTTAGCTATTTAATTTAAACTAAGTCAATTTTTTTCGAAAACTTTTGTACTAACGAGTAAACAGAAGTGTCACAAACAATATTATTTGACAGTTCAAGCAACGAAGCAGCTTTCATGGCTTGCTATTATTTTTTGCTTTCGATATTTGAATATCTGGTATCTGAACCTTTAGCTGTAAATATCTTTCAAAGTTCATTATGTAATTAAGTAATTTTTTCACATAGAGATACTAAAAAAACTACGCTCTTTCAGAATATGTAAAAAAAAATACAGGGTGTCTTTTAAACTTTTGAACCGGAGGTGGCTGGGGGCGGCAGATATCACGTTGGAGTGGTATCTTATACACTATTAATTTACCCCCTACTTTCTTAATGACCTTCCAAAATTTCAAGTCGATATATTTTAAAACACCAGAAATAATTCCATTTAAAGTTTTCGGGCGGACACCCGGTATAATAAATGGATAATATTTGCAGTCATAAAATCCAATCACACACACAACGCACGCTTTAATCAAATAATCCCTCGGATCCGTCGAACACCCTGTTTTAAGAGTCACTCTGACTCTTAAAATTCAAAAAATAATTATCCTATGAAAGTATATTAATTGACATATCGGCTGTCATCCATTGGACTATAAAAATGTCCCACTCCTGGACTCTTTTTGTTATTGCTTTTTGACAATTTATGGACATCTGATGAAAATAACCAACTACAATAATGAGAAATTAAATTTTGGGCTGTCTGGGACTGCATTAACAAATTATTACAATAGAAAATGGTTTTTAACATAACTATTTATGTATTATTATGCTACAAATTTAAGATTGTAGTGGCGAACGTGCTTTTATCTCGAATGAGTCTGTTATAAAAAGTGTTAAACGTAGTTGAATTATCGTACAAACCAGCTGTATGTTTTATTGTGTCAACGTTGATTCCCATTCTGTTAGCTGCCGACGTTGTTGCGGTAAAATGAAAAGATAACATAGATGTATCTATCCCACTATTAGACAGAGTTGTCTTCATCCAACTACTTATGGATTGAGAAGTCGCAGGGTCATAGTGTCGTAAGGTAACATTCTACCACCTCAGCTTCGCATAAAGGCTTTTCTTTAAAGTAAGGAATCTGTAGCAAAGGTTGCATTTTATGTCAGCCAGAAGTTTTTATGCATTGAGGAATTTTTATTTTATAACCATCAGATTATTTTTTATAAATATTGTTCAATTCAGTGAAGGTTAATGTCTGAACTATCTATGCTGTGATAACAATTAAAAGGGCAACAAGTTCGTAAGTAAGTTGATCTAGATATAAGATGTTGTTAGGGTAATTCTTATAAAGATATAAGATAAGACAATACCTGGATCCCAAATAAAATCATAGTTTGGAGACTATAATTAAAAAAAGAGATTCTCTAATGAAATTAAGTGTTTCATAAGAGCAATTATTTTGAAAAACTTTTGTTAAGAAAAGAAGAATATTGAAGACAGAGAATTTAAACATATTCTTATACAATAGTCGCGCCACTGTTTTAAGCCTAAAGAACAATGTTTCATAGTTGCGGGTGTTCTGGAAGCTAACAAGACTTAAATTGCTGCATATGGCAACCCTTTTCGACAGAAAGCCTCCAAGACAATTGACCTGCCATCAACGTTAAAGACTTCCAGATGGGATTACGGATTCTATTGACAGAAAGTAATAGGGTTTCACTAAGTTTAAATATTACCGGTAATAAAAGGAGTAATTCCTAAAACAGAGGGAACCAAGGCTGAGAAGGCAACTGTGGCACCACCATGATTCCCTCTGCCTCATCAGATATAATATTTTGCAACTATTTTAATGTCATCACAAAAGGAGCGAATGCATCAAAATACCATCCCAACCAAAAAATTGGGAATGCATCAGTCGCCACCGTTTCGGAGTATAGTTTACAAGATTAAAATTTCTGACATTTAGAATTTATTTTCGTGGCAAACCAGTCAATGTCTGGGACACCAATTGTTTTAATTATTATTGCCATTACCCTGAAAGACAATTTAAATTCTATCTCACTGTTAAATTTCCTTGATGCATCGTCAGCTATGCTGTCTTTTGTGGCTACATAATTCGTATTTTTCTTTCGCTGCACCACTGCCATATCTATCTTGTTATATTGTTGAGATTTTCAAATTTGGTAGCTCTTATTCTATTGATGTATGATATGGCAGTGGTGTAGTCGATTCGCTTTAAAATTTTAAAATTTATTAAAGACTGTGCAAAGGATTTCAATCCAAAAAACACCGCTCTTAATTCCAATTTATATATATGGAGAAGTTTCTCTCCGGGGCCC